ACGAAACTACAGTATCCTTGGTCGCGATACGATTATAGTTATTATGTGACATGTAATTCATTAACAATGAAAAAATCCCTTTGAATGTAATTTTATGTTGAACTCAGTACCATGCCGAGTACCTATCATGCATGCCAGCATAATTTGTTTTGATGATTTCTATAAATTTACTAAAAAAGCATATTGTAAATATATAAAATCTAAAAGATATATAGATTTGTATATAGCTTGCACTATAGATAGGTACGCTTTCAGACGCATCTTGCAATTATGTATATAATAGGCTGTGGCAACGCGCATCTGTTGCTGTCCGCGAGATCCGGCAATCAATCCTATTGCATAGTCGTTGACCCTTGTTCTCAATACTCGGAAGAAATTAGCTGCCACTTTTTACTAATCGTAGAGTTATTGATGTTTTTCCAAAGACATTACTGATCGGCTTTGGGTATGTCAGCTGGTGAGAAGGGGAGAGTGGGGCTATCTGTTACAGTGGTAAGTTGCTACAAATCAAATATCTTTGAAAATATTGTTGGTTGGCACCAATATTTATGCTAGCAGAAAGGCTACGTACGTTTTACATGCTAATGCAGGCTCAGGTCTGATGACTGATAGAACGCCAAGTCGCCCTGTAGGCGCACTGGGGTAAGTTGTGACAACAAAAGTATTTTTGCTGGTCGACACTTCGAGTTATTTTTTGTCAATGCTATTTGTGCTAGAATGTGAAATGTATGCCCACAATATTAGTTGGTCATTTATTTTGTAAGATTATCAAGTTAGAAGCGCTAGTCTTATGATGTTTACAATGATTGGACTTCAACGTGAGAAGGTCGGCCGCCGGAGGGTCGGGTTAAGTTGAAACATGACCGCCAAAGGATGTTTATTGGCGCGCATCCCTTCGCCTGGGCCTAGATTTCGTGCACAAACGCCGAACCCGGTCAGTTCGGCAACGCTTAGTGCCCTTGGTGTTAGAGCGAAGATAGATGTGCCGCTTCTTAGAGATAGAACCTTCTGAGACTTATTACGGAGCGAGCGAAGCGAGCGGAGTCTTACGTAGAATAACGGAAATTTCTGAGTATGAGCGGCCGGCCGGCCGGCCGGCCGTGGTCACGATTCTGCGACGCTTATATCTCAGCAACCACTTGACCGATTTACATGCGGTAATTTTTGTAGGGTAGCTTCATTCCTTCTACCAAGTATTGGACTATTCCCGATGCATGTGGGTGACCCCTTATGCACGTGCCACGTGCAAAACGAAGAGGTGTCACTTTTGTAATTGTTGCAATATCTCGGTAACTACTTGGCCGATTGCGCTGAAAGTTGGCATGCAGGTAGGCACCCACTAGGCAATGCATATCCATGTGCCGGAGTTGGGGTGCTGCTGCACGTGCGCACGTGCAGGGGTCGATTCCAGATCTCGAGAACGGCTGGACCGATGGCGCTCAAATTTGGTACATGGCTAGGGACCGGTTAGTAGGGTGCCGTGCAAAAGTCAGTTGGGACCCATTTTGCACGTGCGCACGTGCAGGGTGCCGCTTCCAGATCTCGAGAACGGCTGGGCCGATTGTGCTCAAATTTGGTACATCGCTAGAGACCGGTTAGTAGGGTGCCGTGCACAAGTCAGCTGGAGGTACCCCCTCGAAATTTCGCACGTGCAAGGCTCACCCTCTCGCTCGCTCCGTTAGTCGCCCCAAAAGGCGTTATACTGGTGTATAGTTTCTTTTCGAATTATTCTCTGGGATGTAAATATGTTACTCGAAAGCCGGTCCCGTAGCTCAGTTGGTTAGAGCGTTGGACTCCGCGTGGTGAGAGCGCGGGTTCCCGGTTATGACAGTCCGGGTTCGAGGCGCGACGGGCGCTCGGCATTTATGGGCCTCCTGACAGGTATGGTTGCGGTTGGTGGCAGGCCGTAGCCAGGCGAAGTCAGCGAGGGGACCGGCCGCGTGCGGCTTTGTGCGCACGTTAAACTTTGGACTCTAAATTCTGTCTTAACCCTATTCCTGGCGGGGGGCCTCAGGAGCCCCCCTGAGGTTTTTTGGTTATTTCTCCCAAACGCGTTGAGCTAGGAAGCTCAAATTTTCTGACTTTTCCTAAAAGGCTTCTACGCAACATGTCTGAAAATTTTGAGTTGATCTGACCTCAGGTCAGGTCACCAGAGGCGGTTTGGTGACCCTACCTCAGAAAAGTTTGCAATCACGCCAGAGCTAGAGTTTTTGACCGATCAATTTTTCTCTTCAGGCTTTAGTTAGGGTACCAGTATGTGCAATTTGTATATCTCGGAATTTTGATATCGGTGACCTAAGGTCAGGTCAGTTTAGCGACCTCCCCATTATAAGTCAATGGGGGAAAAATCAACTCCCTGTTTTTACCACTAAAACGGGTCGGAATGGCCCCATATACCATACATGACTTCATATACGATCAACCTTCACTACCTTGAGGTCTGTTTTGCTGTTGGGCAGCTGTGAGGTCATGTGACGTCATCAAAGGTCACCAAAGGTTTTTGGCCAATAACTCCGTACAGGAACAAGATACAGACGCGTGGATGGTCTCATTGTGTTCAGCTCGTCAAGACGCATCGAATGATATACATGATGACCTCGAGGTCACGTGACCTGAGGTCAACCTTTGACCTTGACCTTTCGAGGTCAACATATATATCATTCGATGCGGATTGACGAGAGGATCACGATGATGCCCTTAGTTTGTTCCTATCTTGACTAATTCGAAAGTTATTCGAGAAAAACTCTCTCCATACCTAGCGCCGCCATTTGGACTTTTTCGACCCCTGTGACGTCATCTTTGACCTGACCTGAAAATGACCTTAGTAAAAATTGTAGATCTTGACCGTGCGTATCCGATGCCGTTTACCGTTTGTCGCTGCGATGTGTAGTTTTTGAGATCTGAAGGGGGGGCCGAATCGGCCCCCCCCCCCCCCGCCAGTTTCTTGTCCCGGCGGAGCCCGCCAGGAATAGGGTTAAAATCGGAATTGCGCGATCGGAGGGTAGAGGGCAGGGTCATCGCAACAAGCTTCGCTTAGCGGTGGCTCTGTCCTTGTGAATCCTTTCCATCAAAAGGTTCGGACTAATTCTATAAAAAAGTCCAATTCGAGTAACATATTTACATCCCAGAGAAATCCGAAAAGTAGCTATACATATGTTATTTCCTGGGAAAAATGACTTAAAAACAACACATCTGAGACTTGTCTTTTTAGGCGTGTAAAGGTCAGAAAGGATTTATGCGTTATTGCTCTTGTCTGCCAATAATAAGAAAGCGTATTTAGCGTTTATCTAAGGGAGAATTATGATCGTCTCCGAAAATATGCTTAATGTGCGTTATAATTCTGAAGGAATCACTGGAGTTATGTCACAAGGTGACTAAAAATGATACCAATCGTGTTCTGTCCAGTTCCCTGTCTTTTCATAATGTTTTCATACAAATTCAGGGCTAAGCTTCGGTCTTGGTCGTCCGGCGTTCCGTTCACAAGGCTCCCATGCTCGTTTTTCCCCGCGATCTTCACTCATTGTTCAGTTTCAGTTTTTTTCCTAATGCATTTCAGCATGGCTCCCTTTTGCGCCTCCATGGTTGACACATTTACTTACTTCATTTTGAATGCGTAATATATGTAGGTACCCACAAAACAGACGATATGTGACGATGTCCTAAACCCCAAAGCGTAAAATTGCATAAAACTGCACATAAAGTATAAGGCATACAAGTCAATATTAAGCATTAACCCGCGCACCGACAGGGGTCTGCGCCAACTTCGCACCGACGGGGGGGGGGGCGGATGACCGCCCCCCCCCCCCCTGAGATCTCGAGAACGAAGCAAGATAGCGACAAGCGGTAAACGGCATCGGATACGCATGGTCAAGATCTACAATTTTAACGAAGGTCATTTTTAGGTCAGGTCAAAGATGACGTCACAGGGGTCGAAAAAGTCAAAATGGCGACGCTAGATATGGAGAGTTTTTCTCGAATAACTTTCGAATTAGTCAAGATAGGAACAAACTAAGGGCATCATCGTAATCCTCTCGTCAATCCGCATCGAATGATATATATGTTGACCTCGAAAGGTCAAGGTCAAAGGTTGACCTCAGGTCACGTGACGTCGAGGTCATCATGTATATCATTCGATGCGTCTTGACGAGCTGAACACAATGAGACCATCCACGCGTCTGTATCTTGTTCCTGTGCGGAGTACCTAATTGGCCAAAAACCTTTGGCGACCTTTGATGACGTCACATGACCTCACAGCTGCCCAACAGCAAAACAGACCTCAAGGTAGTGAAGGGTGATCGTATATGAAGTCTGTATGGTATATGGGGCCATTCCGACCCGTTTTAGTGGTAAAAACAGGGAGTTGATTTTTCGCCCATTGACTTATAATGGGGAGGTCGCGAAATTGACCTGACCTTAGGTCACCGATATCAAAATTCCGAGATATACAAATACTACTAATAACCTAATAACATCCTGCGACTTTCAAAGGCCTCCGACATCTACTGTAGCTCTGGCACAGTGACAAAGTTGCAAAAAAGTGACTTGAGGTTGGGTCATTCAAAGTGACCTGGTGACCTGACCTTGAAAGGTAGGAGGTTCAAACTTGCACACCATGTGTAAAATTGATGAGGGAATAGTCGTACCAAATTTCGCGGCGCGCGGTTTTCCCGCTATTCGCGAAAAACCTCAGGGGGGCGGATATCCGCCCCCCCGTCGGTGCGCGGGTTAAATTGCGCACAAAGTATAAAATTGCAACAAAAGCAGAAAGCAGCATAAAATTGCATATCAAGCATGGGATCGCATGAAAAGCATTCCTAACATTTGCCTGCCTGTTGTACATACATATTTGAGCCTGCTACCTGCAAACTGCTACTTAAACTGCCAAAGCTGCAATTACATTCAACGCAACTATATGAGCATGAATTTCGAACAATCGACTGCCGCTTACACGATTAGAGATATATCCGTGCATTTCTTTTCGCCGTGTAATACCCAAGAGCCTACTCGATGGTATCATTCACAGCAAACATGACCTTGGAGATTTCTCCCTTCTTGAGTTTATCCATGGCCTCTTGGTACTGCTCCAGTTTAAAGAGCTCCACCCCGAGGCGCGGCAGGTCCAGGTAGCGAGCGCCGAGCGCGGCTGCCATCGCTGCGGCGCGCGGGAACGTATGAGGGTTGATGACTGCGCCCCTGACTGAGAGCTCGCGGGTAACGAGCAGGTAGGGGCTGAGCGAGACGCGGCCCTCGGGCGGCGCCACGCCGAACAGGCAGAGCGCACCGCCGCGCCGCAGCCAGCCGGCCGCCTGCTCGATGGCCGGGCAGAAGCCGCTGCAGTCGATGACCACGTCCGCGCCGTTGGAGGCCACCTGGTCGTCGGACAGCGCCGCGAACTCGGCGGCCAGCTCGGCCGGAGCGGCGGCCCGGTAGCCCAGCTGGAGGCCGTCGACGAAGCGGCGCCGAGCCGGCCCCGGCTCGCTGATGGTGACGTCGGTGATGCCGCGGTGGTGCAGCAGACAGGCGGTCAGCAGGCCGATGATGCCGGCCCCGAGCACCACCACCCGGCCGTGCGCCGGCAGCGGCTCGAACAGGTCGAAGGCGTGCAACAGGCAAGAGATCGGCTCGCAGAGGGCGGCCGAGCTGAGTGGTACGCCTGCCGGCAGTCGATGAACGTCTGCCTCGTGGACCAGCACCGCCTCCGCCCAGCCGCCCGGCCGGTAGAAGCCCAGACAGTCGGCAATGCTCTGCGTGCCGCAGAAGTGGATGTTGCCGAGCTTGCAGGCGCGGCAGACACCACAGCCGCGGTTCGGGTTGACGCTAACGCGGTCTCCGACGGCGACAGACGAGACGGCTCCGCCGACCTCAGCCACCAGGCCGCTCAGCTCGTGGCCCATAGTGGTCCACTCGGGCGACATCGGGTAGTGGCCCGACAGCGCGTGCAGGTCGGTGCCGCAGACGCCGGCGAACGCCACGCGCACGATGACGTCGTGCGGCGCGCTGACGGTGGGCCAGGGCACGTCGTGCACCTCGAGACGCTGCTCCGGCTGAAGGAACTGGAGCGCCTTCATGGTGCGTCTCGGCGGAGCGGACAGTGGTCTACCGCACTGGACGGCGCTCGGCGATGAACTAACGGGCCGGGTGGGGCGCCACGGTGAAGTGCCGGATCCGTGAGCTCAGTGGGGGAAACTGTGGTCAAATCTTCTATTTTTGGAAGCCTTCCATTTTTGGAAGGACCTTCCATAAATGGGTATGCATTTTCCAAAAATGGAAGGCTTCCAAAATTGGAAGGTCTAATCTCAGTGTTCCCAACTGTGATTCACATTCTTTGATTTAAGTTACGGCCTTTTTAAATGTGTAACATTAATAGTTGATTTTGCCATTTATGATCATTGATATAAGGAGAAGCAGCAGTGCTAGTGTTGGTAATACAGGCATGCTATGTCAATGTACATAGTGATATAATAGCATGGTGTCCTGGCGCACTGCTCTCTTTTTCTACTTCTAGAGGACACATAGAAATTCAGAAGAGAAAACAGCTGGTCAATAACCAACCAGGAGGAACACAGCTATAGCCCTGACAAAAAATGGTTTAAATTAAACTTACTATTCCTCATATAAATTGAAGATTCATGCTCCTTCGATAGAAAGTAACACGAAAAACGGCGCAGCAACGCCTATTTAATTCGTCCCATATTCCGGAAAAAAACATTGAAAAATGACGAGACCTCCACCCAAATGTTTGGCAAAAGCCTTAAAAAATTGAAATCAACCACACAATATGCTAATAAATGCAGAAAACGGCAACAAATACAAGTTTTACTCGCCACTACACTCCCGAAACCGCCGCACTCTGTCCAGACAATTCCGCACTGTAAATAAAGTCGGCGGTATCGAACAAGCATGGCCCGTCACTAAAGTACTTTTAAGGATATTTACTTTTCGTTTTTGATGCTTTTTGCTTACAAAATGTTTGATAAAGTCTTATAAAACCATCGTTTGTCGGTAAATTTTTGTCAATTTTCCACGACTCATTACTTTGAAAAATTACCTAAAATACATCCACGCTAGGATTTAGGCATCCACGCTAGATTATGGACACTTCACTATGGCGAATAGAAAGCGACCAGGGGCGATAGTCGCATTTGCCTCATGTTCGGCGGAAATCGGTAAGTTCCAACATATGCGCAACATTTTCTATATTTGGGTACGATGACGTCGTCAGCGTACCCATTTTTGGAAGGTGCGTACCCATATATAGAAAATCCTTCCAAAAATGGAAGGCTTTCTAAAAATGGAAGATTTGACCACAGTTTCCCCGACTGAGCTGGGCAGCTGCTGACCTTTTGAGGCCACCTCAGGGGTAAAAATATTCCTGTTTGTGATCATAATTTGACAAGCATAGACATCAAAGATGTAGTCCAGACTATAGGAATGTTCCTCTTGCGACCCCCATGTGCAATAAACACACGGGTTTCAGAAGCCAATAACAAAACCGAACCGCAGGCCAAGACGCCCACCGATTAAAGAAGAACAAATACTCATACAAGAGTGTATTGATTTAAAAACGAAGTCAGTAGCACCGTCGGGAACGGCTTGATCAATAGGGACTCCTTAGCCGTTTTCACGACGGCCATCTGGTACACATCTGGTGCACATTTGGTGCAGAGTAGGTGCAGATTTGGTCAAATCAGGTTCGATGTGTCTCTTACTAGCCAGCTAGGGTTACACTAATTGCTTATATGCCTGCTTTTGTCATATTACCAGAGAGTATCATCGATGAAAACACTGAAATAAATTCATAAAATACAGATATTTGCTGTAAAAGAGATTAGGTGCAGATTTGGTCAAATTAGGTGCACTCGCCGGATAGCCTTTCGTGAAAACGGCCCTTATGTAATCACTGGTTACAGAGGCCTCAGCACTGGCAGCAGCCGCCTGGTACTGGTAGACTGTGCCGCAGGATTTGAGTGTTAGCGTTGCAGTCTACCCACGCTGTATGACACCGTCTCGGGTCGCCGGGTGGAGCGCTTCATAGATCGGTCGTGAGTGACCAGGGGAGGGGGTGCAGTCTGGTGATCGGGCTCGATTCGGCAGCTGGCGCGGGCCGCAGAGTGATGTGGGACGTGGGCGTTAACCAGGGCTGGGCGAGTGTGGCCATTGAACTGTGTTGCCAACCTAATGCGTTCCGGCCTTTGCTAAATACGATGCCTAGAAGACTTAGCTAATGCCTATAATTTACTGGACATGTGCATTGTGCAGCACGTCGTGAGTTCGCACGGTACCCATATAGACAACCATAGACCTCTGAGACAACCCATAGAAGGTTTGGTGCCATATATAGCCCTCGTCAGGCCGGGGGGGGGGGGTGATGCACCCCTCCCCCCACCCTCGAAAGTCTTTTGCAAAGAGCGTAAAACGGCGGCACGTACGGCGTAGAGCCGACAAATTTTGCATATCTTCTGGGGCATTTTGTAACCTTCCCTGAAAATGTCAGGTCTCAGTGATTTCAGGTCAGGTGACAGGTCACCAGGTCATAAAAGCGGTACAAGGTCAGGATAAACTTGGACTAGTTTAGCGGCAACGGAATCACAAATTGTTTAGTTAACCCGCACTCTCCTGGGGAATGGTGTTTTAACCTGCGCCCCACTGGGGGGGCTATTCATAGCCCCCCCCCCAGTTTTTCTGCAATAACTTCCAAACCATTTGACGTATCGACGCCAAACTTTCAGTACCTTCGGCTACATCAATTGGACACTTTGTGTCAAAATTTGAACTTCGTAGCTAACATAGGTCGGCCGGAAATGACGTCAGAGTGACGTAATGTTCGGCCGATTTCGACGCAAAACATTGAACCACGGCAATCGCTCCCAAGAGCTCAGTTTTTAAGCTAGATCCAATTTCTTTAGATGAAAGGACTGAGAATTGACTGCGCTATCAAACTGCTGTCTCGGATTTTCAAAATTTTGAAAATTTCGAAAATTTCATATAATAATATTCAAAATTTATATTTTTATATTTTTTTCAAAAAGTTTTTTAATTTTCGAAAAAAAACGGAATATATGTGACAGAACGCATGCTTTTGACTAACTCTAGCAAGTTTTAGCTAAATGTCTTCAAAAATGGCCAAGTTATACACATTATTGCAAAAAATTCACAGTTATTAATTTTTCAAATCAAGTTTTCAGTACGTATTTGACATCGTGCACCAATATAAATAGCACCATCGTGTTCCTAAGCTCAAACTGCATCCAATAGACACCTTTTTGTTGAAAAATTTAAACATAAAAATTTGACCTTTTTGACCCGAAAATGACCTGAACTAAGCTAAATTCGACTCAAAATGACCTCGAATGACACACACGACATCAAATTCGAATTCTATAGGCCTAAATGGACCATAAAACATGTGTAACGTGACCGACGCATGATATAATATTTCCGTGACCTGTGATGACCTGACCCTGACCTGAAAATCAAAGTGCAAGTTTGGTACCCTCAAGGTATCTAGAGCATCTGTTCACGAGTGTGGAAACCAAAATTGAGCCTGATCTGACTTGTAAGACGGCGGCCAGAGCCCAAAATGTGAACAAGCAAAAATGCTAATAATTTTTACTTTGACCTGACCTGTGACGTCATCGGTGACCTCGAGGTCAATGAAATTAGGTTTCGCTCGACAGTTTTTCCGGGGCTATCAGACGCCGTTTGAATTTTGACGATCGGCCCAGTAGTTTCGGAGTTAGGAGGGGGGCTATGGAGAGCCCCCCCCCCCCCCCCACCAGTAGGGCGTGTTATACGCAGACCCCAGTGGGGCGCGGGTTAACACCCTGTACATTGTTTTTTTTTCTCGCGAATATCTCAAATACAGCGAGCGCTCCAACACCCTACCATGCATCTTTTCTGTACCTGCTGTGAAAATTTCAAACCAAGGTCACTCAAGGTCAGGTTACCAGGTCACGTCACTCCCCCACCCCGCTACCAGTTTTTGCTGAACTTTTACGCCTGTCTATAGCCATCCGGCACCCTGAACACCAAAACTTGATGATTCTCCAGCTGCCCTTCGAAATTCGATGAATATTTCGTTTCGTATCTACAGCATTATTGAGTGCAAATTTATTTCACCCAATCAATGAAGGAAATCATATCAGAGGCCAGTTTCACCAACAGAAAAATACCTGCCTGCCGGAATCTTTTGCCGAAATATCGTTTCACATACGCGATGGGCAGGTAGGCGGATAGGGCTTCACCGTTTACGTTCCGAATGTGAAACGAACTTCAGGCAAAAAATTCCGGCAGGCGGCTTCATTTATGTTGGTAAAACTGGCCTCAGAAGCAAAAACTGGGGGCCCTGGTCCAGCATTTCGCTGAATGCTAGACGAGGCGTATGCGAGCACTTCTGAAAAGGAAGACATTACTGGCCAGAACTTTGATGGACCTGTCCTGTCGAAGACCCGTCGTGACGGTTTGAATGATCCATAATTTGACCTTTGACCTGACGTTTTTGAGATATTCGCGAAAAACCACAAGGGGGGTGTTCAAACACCCCCCTCCCTTAGCAGGGCGCGGGTTAAAAGAGCTATCGAATGCGCTTTTCCTCGGCGCTACGTAGCTCTTATCGGTTCCCAAGTTAGCCGTTGGCAGTTTCCAAAATGCTGAAATAGCCAACATTTTACCTTTGGTGACCTCTGGTGACCTGACCCAAAACATGACCGAATGTTTTCGTCCTTATTTTGGACGTTCTTTCGATTGCCGCTTACCGCGTGTCGCTACGTGGCCCAGGAGCCGAGTTAGAAGGGGGTGTTCAGCAGAGCTGGGCGCGTTCCTCGATTTTCGGTAGTGCGTTAGCGTTCCTGCGTTCCTCCGCCGCGGTTAGTGCGTTCCTGGAATAGCGTTCCTCAATTTTTTTTTCGCTCGGTGCGTTAGCGTTCCTGCGTTCCTGCGTCCCAAACTATTAACCCGTATTGTATTCTGGCTCTACCAAGCAGCAAATCATACCCAAATCAGTGCAACGCAACGTAGCGGACAAAGTAGGCAAATCGCGCCAGTCCAACACTACAGGCGTGTTCTTCACAACCGAAGTCGTGGACAAAGAAATACCGCCGAACCACGCGGCGCGGGCCCAACCAAACACAGAATCGATCACAGAATTTGCACAGAATACCCAGAATGGCGACGCGGGGCCGAAAAGCAACTCGACATCTCTTTTCCGAATCGAATATCTGAAATACGTTTTACCGGTTTTACCAATATCATCCGTAGGGTTTTCAACAAAAATATGACCTGCTTAAAAACAATAGTTAAGTTGAAAGATGTATCTAAGTAAAAGTTATCATATTTCTTTACACATTTAATGCCTGAAACCGAATCGAATAGTAAACATCACCACTTAATCTAAGCAAGCCTTCCTCGATTCGACCGACAAGTGGCGCCTCTACCGGCAAACACACGTACTCGAGATTCAAACATTTGACAGAGGTCATTGGCAGCAATATAATTTTTCGGGTGGTTCCACAAGAACGCAGGAACGCTTCAAAATTTCGGGTGGTGCGTTCCTCTTACTTGCGTTCCTTTGAAAAACTTTGCGTTCCTGCGTTCTTGCGTTCCTAAAAAGGGTGGTGCGTACGTACGGAAGAACGCAGGAACGCACTAAAGGAACGCACTTGCCCAGCTCTGGTGTTCAGACCCCCCCCCCCCCCCTGGCCCGGCGTGGAAGTCTCGGAGCACCGGCCCGGCGCGGGATAGATCCAAGTCTAATTTTGATTGAGATCCAGTGATATTATAGATCCTCATTTACCTACTTTCGTCAACTCAGAAATCCCAGAATATCACTCATTGCAACTCAAAAACGTTCTATTTTAGAGATGTTATGTGATTGAACGTCATACTCCATAGTTTTGCGGCACTTATTGACATAGAAACACTTAGGTAGAAACTTGGTTTCAAATCTTGTGCATGGTGGGATCCACTCAGATCATAGATCCATGTTCTTGTTTTATCGTCAGATCCTATGAGATCATAGATCCAATTTTCGATTTTCTAAAATCGAAAAACTGTTGAGACTTTTTGGCTATTATATCCTTAAGATCACTTTTTCGATTTTTTTGGGGGTCAAAATACAAAAAAAAAACAAGATAGCAGTTTTGTAGCCCTGTTAATTTTACATTTTTATATCCTGAACATTTTTCTGTATCTTCAAAGCTGTAGGCCTCACAGCTCTTCTAGCGAAACTTTTTTTGGTTCGAAAATATCAGAACATGACGTCATTTGTGGCAAACCTATCATAGCCTCTGGAAAAATGGTCACAATGTGTAAAATTGATGCCCGGAGGGGTCCTGAAAGTTTGGTGGCGATATCTTCAGCCGTTTAGGAGATAGCAACAGAAAAGGACAACGGGGCCGTTTCGGCCCCCCCCCTCCCCCTACGGGGCGCGGGTTCAGAAAGCTATGGAATGCGTTTTTCCACGGCGCTGTAGCTCTATTTTTCTAGATTTATGCGCAGCTTTGTCAAAATTGTCGAAATAGACGAAATATGACTTCTGAGGAAATTTGGTGACCTCACCCTTGACCTGACCTAAAAATGATCGGTGCACTTTCATCATGATATGTGACGCTCTTTCGAAATTCGAATGCCGCTTACGCAATCTCTAAATTGCTCAGGAGTCGAGTTAGACGGGGGTGTTCAAAACATCCACCTACCAGGCACGTTTGGCGTCGAGCACCGGTGCGGGTCAATCATGGGATATGTCATTAGGAAATATCTGAGATATACAATTTGTGAGGGTAAGGAGGTTATGAAATGAAGTCCTGTTATTTTTTATTTCCCTGTGAAAGGCCCCTTGGCGGCTGGCACAGAGGACTTTACGAATTTGCGACTCTTGAGACCGCGCTAATGTTCACTTGTGACGTCATTTGACAGTGACCTTACCGGACCTGAAAATGCAACTGAACTGAAATCTCTACAGCCAGCGCGCGCCGAACAATCGTGTAAAAACGTGGAGGGGGGATTAACTATCTATACGCGACTTCCTATCGGTCTTGGAGGGTTGAGTCTTCTTCAGTGAAAACCCTTAGGAATGGGGCATGCCAATTGCCAACTAATATCGCGCTATTTCGTCGTAAAGGAATTGCATTAAGCATAAAGGAAATTGATACTTCTTGAAGGGAGTCCAATACTGCTAGCCTTAGTGACAGTCGACCGGTTGCCAAATAAAACTCATCGATGAAAGTCGCTATATTTAAAATAAATGTCCATTCTTAATGTGAAGCAGTCAGCATGCCCTCAACTTAGACAAATGCCTCTCAATGTCAGCAACACTTCGAAATACCCTACAGCTTCACCGTGTTCAAACTATTCAGTTCCTGCACCTCGAAATATTTACAGTTCAATATACGAAATGAAGTGATTCACTTATTGTACCACTTCGTTCTAGCACGATCATAGGCACAGGCGTGAGACATTTGCGAGACGCTGGGGCGCTCATGGAAGCCGACCGCGCCGGGTCCAGGAGCCGTCTGAGACTGTATTCGGAGCCATCTGAGACAGACTGTCCACGGAGCCGTCTGAGGCGGACTGTCCAGGAGCCGTCTGAGGCGCTCCTGGAAGCCGACCGCGCCGGGTCCAGGAGCCGTCTGAGCCGTCTGGAGCCCCGGGTGGTCCCAGGATCCGTCTGGAGTCCCTGGCGGTCCCAGGAGCCGCGTCTGAGACACAGTGTCCATGGAGCCGTCTGAGGCGCTCCTGGAAGCCGACCGCGCCGGGTTCAGGAGCCGTCTGAGCCGTCTGGAGTCCCTGGCGGTCCCAGGAGCCGCGTCTGAGACACAGTGTCCCAGGAGCCGTCTGAGGCGGTCCTGGAAGCCGACCGCGCCGGGTCCAGGAGCCGTCTGATACAGCCTGGCGGCAGGAGCCGTCCGGGGCGGTGCTGGAGGCGTCCGGGGCGCTACATGTTGGGCTTGTAGCAGGCCAGCGTGGGCTTACAGCCGCGGCTGCCGTAGTTATCGCTGCAGTTCAGCCGCTCGTCGACACAGAGCCACGGACAGTTGTGGCAGTCGGGACTGTCATCTGCCGGAGAGAGGACACACACACTGTCAGCCGTGCAGTCGGGACTGTCATCTGCCAGAGAGAGCACACACACACTGTCAGCTGGGACTGTCATCTGCCGGAGAGAGCACACACACTGTCAGTCGGGACTGTCATCTGCCGAAGAGAGCACACACTCACTGTCAGCTGGGACTGTTATATGCCGGAGGGAGCACACACACACTGTCAGCTGGGACTGTCATCTACCGGAGAGAGGGCACACACACTGTCAGCTGGGACTGTCATCTACCGGAGAGAGCACACACACTGTTAGCCGTGCAGTGTGGACTGTCAGCCGTGCAGTGTGGACTGTGGAACTGTCAGTCGTGCAGTGTGCACTGTCACCAGCCGGGGAGAGCAAGGACACTGTACCGTACAGCTAGGACAGTCACCTACACGTAGGTATGTATGTACATTGTATGTACAATGTCAGCCGTTCCGGAACGAAACAGCCCGCAAATAGCCAAACGCGAAAAGTAGCTACTAAATGGGCGAGTAAGAGGTTATGCTCATTATGCATGCGAAGGCAAAGACAAACACAGATATGAAAACTGACAACACGACAATGTACCTATTATAGCCACACCGTGGAAAGGATGACGCATTGTACCTATTTACGACATTGTAAAAGTGATAAAATTAAAGTTGTTGTCCCTCCTGATAAGTCTTAAGTATCTCACTTAGCTCATGGCATATATATGTATTTGTTCGTGTATTTGTATTTGTTCGGCCTACCGTAGGCCGAACAAATGTCCCAAAATTCGAACAGTGTCCCAAAATTTGCCAGTTTGGGTGGGAAGTGACATCCAAATCAAAATAATTTTCCACTCTCACCTCCAATTTTCCAGAACGATTTTTCACTCCCTAGTTTACCAATAAGACCATCTGCGTGCACTTTGTACCTCCCTCCATATTCGATTCAATGATCTTTTAACCCTAGAACGCCTAGGGGGGGGGGGGTTGTATCACCCCCCCCCCTGAGGTTTTTTCGAAGTGCACGCTAAACGGCTTGTCGTAGCGGGCTGAAATTTTCAATACCCTCTGCGGCAACCTTTGCGCATCTTTTGCCGAAAAAAAATTGATCGGGTCATGTCAGGTCACGGAGTTATGACGTCATAAGGGGTACAGCCTCCGGCCGACAGTTACCAAACGTGTGCGCCGAATCCCTAGGTTTTCTGCCGGTGATACCCACATTGTTTGATGGATCATGATAAAACTTCCCATGCATGTTGGGGCAAGCATTGGCTATCGTGTGGTGCAGTGCAAGAAAATTGACCGGGTCAGGTCAGGTCACGGAGCTATGACGTCACAAGAGGAACAGCGTCCGGTACTATTTTTGAAAAGCGCCCGAACCACTATTTTGCTAATTCATGTCACCTCAATGGGAATATGCAGCAATATTAGCTTCTATAGGGAGCAAATGGACCTCCCAAATCCAAAAATACAATCAGATTTCAAAAATTTAAATTTTGATTTTTTGAATTTCTGCCGCCGACTGTGACCTTGCCGACTTCCGGCGCTCCCAACGCGCCATTTTTAGAGCTAGGGAAACGAAATACATACCAAACGATAGAGAATTGATCAAGGAACACGATAGTGAAGGTTTCAAGTCGATATCTCCCACCGTTTTGCCGCAATCGCCGCGGAAAGTTGAAAAAGTTTGATTTTTTCGGAAAATTTGCCTTTGACCGGTCATAAGTAGGTCAAATGTTGACCTAGGACCAAAAAATATACCACCAATCGCGAGATCTCGTTGAGAGCAATCCGTTGGTTTTTTCCGCTAAGCTCTACGACCTTCCGTTTCGAAACGCCAGGGGGGGGGGTCGTAACAACCCCCCCCTGGTCGTTCGTGTTATGAGAAATGGCCTGGTCGTGCGAGGGTTAAGACAGCTCCCACTCAACCCACATCCTCCAACACTCACAAATTAGGTAATTGTTGCTATCTGTTTTCTGCTCTTTTTGTACTCTTCTAACTCGCAATTTTCCACTCTCAGCCCTCTTTATAGTGACGAATATTCCCCTGTGACACCCAAGCCAAAATATCATTTTGGGACACTGCAGAAGACTGAAAGAGCTCCTTTGAAGTGCAGCGTTACTACACGCGGTCCATTCCGGTGCAGCCTGTTTGTGATCGTGCGGCATGATTAGCGCCGTCGAGGGGCGGGTGTTCCGAGGAGGGTGTGCAATGCGCAGTGTGCACTGTGTGGTGTATGTGGATTACGTGACAAAAGATCGTAAGACAAAAGATCGTATGGAAAAAGATCGTACGAAAATGATCGTAAGATAAAGATCGTATGTTGATAAAAAGATCGTACGGTAAAAAGATCGTAAGCAAAAGATCGTAAAGCAATTGATCGTATGCAAAAGATTGTACGAAAATGATCGTAAGATAAAGATCGTATGTTGTAAAAGATCGTACGACAAAAAGATCGTAAGCAAAAGATCGTAAAGCAATTGATCGTATGAAAAAGATCGTAGGAAAATGATCGTAAGATAAATATCGTATGTCGCAAAAGATCGTACGACCAAGGATCGTAAGCAAAAGATCGTAAAGCAATGGATCGTACAAAAAAGATCGTAGGAAAATGATCGTAAGATAAAGATCGTATGTTGTAAAAGTTCGTTCGACAAAAGATCGTAACGTTACGTTCGTAAAGAAAATAATCGTATAGAATAGTGTTGTTACGAGCGAGCGAGCGCAGCGAGCGAAGCGAAGTCTTTTGAATATAACGGGAAAATCTCAGTATGAGCGGCCCGGTCCGGCCCGGCCCGGCCCGGCCTGTAACGCTTTTGAGAGGCCCATATCTCAGCAGCGGCTTGAGCGATTGTCTTGCGGTAATTTTTATAGGGTAGCTGCATCCCTTCTACCAAAGGTCGGATACCCTTGATCTATGTGAGTGACCCCCAATGCACGTGCAAAATACAAAAAGAAGAGGTGCCAAATTTGTTCCCACTTCAGTAACTCGGTAATTACTGGGGCGATTTCGAACCAATGATGGACAATTGACATCTTTAACCGGCCTTCGATAACAATGACTCCTATAACTAGGATTGGATTGAAACTAGGATCCTATAACTAGGAGAATTGCGACTTCGATAGTGATAACGCGATAAACATCTGTTGATGACTCGTAAAGCGATGACGATTCAATATGAAAATGCAACACTGCGAAGGAAAAAGTATTTTTAACGCCGTTTACTTCAGCCGCTTAAGCAACATTTTAACCTTCCAGGCGGTGGGGGTGGGGTGGGGGGGGACATGGGTTTAGTTGTATTCACTTCAAATAGGTACATGAAAACGGCAGCACATACATTCATTTAATCGGCACATATACAACGCGTTGCTTTTAGGTGTCATTGAGCCATCTAAGCTCTGAAATAACATCTGTAGACGGGTCTCGCCTCGCCACCCCGGCTCCGACACGCAAGCTTCACAAGAGAGCTTATATTGCACCACCACCGCACCGCTCGTGCCGGCCGCCAGGACTCCACGACACAAGAGCGACAACAAACCGAAGAGACATCGGAAACTAAGGTACTAGGGCTGCAACTAAACAGAAACTAAAGTAACAGCCCCGTAGATAATTATGACAATATCAAATAAATACTTAAGTGACATGAATTAATCAGATATAAAATCGGACAAGAGACAACGCAGGAAACAATAAGAAACAGAAGAAAAGCCGGTACGAAATTAAACGGCGCGAATAAATGGACCGACTACACATCAATGTATGGTCGAGCTTACGACGGCCACTTACTACGCGAACACAGAAATTGATAAGCTTTGTATGCGCTGGAGTTGGGCTGTACCATGTGAATACCTACCATATTTTGACTGTACGATCTTTATCTCATACGATCATTTGGCGTACGATCATTTTCCTTGACGATCTTTAGCGAATACGATCTTTTGTCCATACGAGCATTATGTCGTACGGTCTTTATCCATTACGACTTTTTGGCATACGATCATTTTCCTTGACGAGCTTTAGCGAATACGATCTTTTGTCCATACGATCATTATGTCGTACGATCTTTATCCATTACGACTTTTTGGCATACGATCATTTTCCTTGACGATCTTTAGCGAATACGATCTTTTGTCCATACGAGCATTATGTCGTACGATCTTTATCCATTACGATATTTTGCATACGATCAACTGCCTACGATCTTCTGCCATACGATCTTCTGCTTTACGATCTTTTGTCCGGTTACCGTGGTGTATGTGCACACTGCACAGTGCACTGCGCACTGTGCGGCCGTAGGGGGCGCTGTACAGCTTCACAGTGGTGCAGAGGGCGCCATGAAAAGCAGCATGCATCGTCCAGGGGTACGATTCGTGTGGTCCACAGAGGGTGGTCCGTATGGTCCACAGAGGGCGGTCCGTGTGGTCCACAGAGGGTGGTCCGTGTGGTCCACAGAGGGCGGTCCGTGTAGTCCTTGTGGTCCACGGAGGGTGGTCGCGCGGTCTAGGAAGTGTGGACCGTGTGGGCTGTGGTCCTGAGGTTCTGGTCCGTGTGGTCCAGGGACGGTGGTCCGTGTGGTCCAGGGACGGTGGTCCGTGTGGTGCGGGTTCTGGTTCGAGTGGTCCCGGGAGGGCAGGTAGTTTGCGGCCTCCAGGGAGCACCGTTATCCCTCCGGCCTCCAGGGGCTGCTAACCCGCTAACCGCTGGGACAAACACTGATGTGTTGGCCATGCTCTGTAGACCGCAGCAGATGGTAAACAGCTTGGGAGTTCATCTCAAACTGCATTGGATAATCAGGCTGCTATTTTTTTTTTTAGATCAAGTTCAGCTGCAATCCCATCACCTATGAGGCAGGTGACTTAGTCGAAAACGTGGTTTAGACTTGGAAGGAAAATGGGAACAAGTGACACATCTTGTTAACGATAAAAAAATACATAACAGTATCAATCAATGCAATATGGCAAGCATCTGAAGTAGCTTTGAGGCATTTTTGGAGCTCTAAACTCATCCCAATTTAATATGCTGGGCTTTAACATGCTTTAACTCTATCAACAGTATCCTACCGGGTACCAGTATTTATAAGTGCCATTGGTCAGTATAAATGGTGGTGTGCCGCACGCCTGGCCCGTGCACGTGCTGGCCGGACGGGAGGGCAGCGGACGGCCGGCCGTGCCTGGTAAACAGACCGAGGGCCGCCCACAGCCGCTACGCAGCACCGCGGTACAGACCGAGTGTGTGTGCAGTGTGAACCGTCACCGGCGTCCGGCGGGAGAGTTGGACACTACCAGAGGAGTGGGCGGGACTGGGGACGGGCCAACTGGGGGCACTACCAGAGGAGGAGGCGGGACCGGCCAACTGGGGACACTATACCAGAGGAGGCGGGACTGGGGACCGGCCAACTGGGGGCACTACCAGAGGAGTGGGCGGGACCGGGGACCGGCCAACTGGAGACACTACCAGAGGAGGAATCGGGACTGGGGACCGGCCAACTGGGGACACTACTAGAGGGGGAGGCGGGACTGGGGACGGCGCGCTGGGGGCACTACCAGAGGAGGCGGCGGGACCGGGGACCGGCCAACTGGGGACACTACCAGAGGAGGAGGCGGGACCGGGGACCGGCCAACTGGAGACACTACCAGAGGAGGAATCGGGACTGGGGACCGGCCAACTGGGGACACTACTAGAGGGGGAGGCGGGACTGGGGACGGCGCGCTGGGGGCACTACCAGAGGAGGCGGCGGGACCGGGGACCGGCCAACTGGGGACACTACCAGAGGAGGAGGCGGGACCGGGGACCGGCCAACTGGGGACACTACCAGAGGAGGAATCGGGACTGGGGACCGGCCAACTGAGGACACTACCACAGGAGGAGGCGGGACCGGCCAATTGGGGACACTACCAGAGGAGGAGGCGGGACTGAGGACCGGCCAACTGAGGACACTACCAGAGGAGGAGGCGGGACCGGCCAATTGGGGACACTACCAGAGGAGGAGGCGGGACTGGGGACCGGCCAACTGGGGACACTACCAGAGGAGGAGGCGGGACCGGTGACATTCGTAATCTTCTAATACTCCTATTAACCTCTCACAACGTCCGTGAGTGATTCTTTCATGCACGGTACCTACCGTAACCCCTTCACAATGGCGAATCCAAAAGTGCTGCATAGCGAGACACATGAAAGCACAACCCGAGAAGTTTTATTGGAGAACCTTTTAGGGGAGTATGCCTCCAGCGTACTCTGATCTGAAAACACTGTTCTGGATCCGTCAGTATCATCACAAAAGGCCGCAATCCTTTTCCAGGTCCCTAGCGCTCACCTTCAAACTGCACATGTACCCGTAGTGCTCTCATCTGTCAAAAAGAGTACTCTTAGAGTACTTCTTAGAGTACTCCCGCTCACATTGTCGTAACCCTCTTCAGTACCTTGTAACCCTATCACCCGTCACACATGGAACCGATAGCGCTCTCACCCGTCAAACAGAGTGCCGGTAGCGCTCTCACGGTCAAACAGAGTGCCGGTGGCGTTCTTACCCGTCAAACAGAGTACCGGTAGCGCTCTCACCTGACACGCAGAGTACCCGTAACGTTCTCGCCTGACACGCAGAGTACCAGTGGCGCTCTCACCTGACACGCAGAGTACCGGTGGCGTTCTCACCTGACACGCAGAGTACCTGCCCGTGGCGCTCTCACCTGACACGCAGAGTACCGGTGGCGCTCTCACCTGACACGCAGAGTACCGGTGGCGCTCTCACCTGACACGCAGAGTACCGGTGGCGTGACACGCAGAGTACCGGTGGCGTGACACGCAGAGTACTGGTGGAGTGACACGCAGAGTACCGGTGGCGCTCTCACCTGACACGCAGAGTACCGGTGGCGTGACACGCAGAGTACTGGTGGAGTGACACGCAGAGTACCGGTGGCGCTCTCACCTGACACGCAGAGTACCGGTGGCGTGACACGCAGAGTACTGGTGGAGTGACACGCAGAGTACCGGTGGCGCTCTCACCTGACACGCAGAGCGGCTTCAGCTGGCACACCTGTCCGACACATATGGCCTGGCAGCGCTGGTGGTAGCCGCACGTGACGCGGGAGCACGGGTCGAAGATCTGCACGGTGGTGTCTGTTGGGGAGAGCCGCGGGTCAGCACACTGCTGGAGCAGCACTGTCGTCACCACATTGCACAGAGTCACATTTTACCGTCACATACACCACCGGGACAGGGTCCGCGAAAAGACTGCATTCGCTCGTCACGCCCTGTGCGCGATTTAACACCAAGGACTATCCAATGCGATTGACCAATGACCATTCATTCTGTTTTTACTGTCGCCGAATCATGACACATAAGCAAAAAAATATATATATATTGTTTGCCTGCTTGTTAGCTTGTTGTCGTTTATTTGCATTTCTGGTTTGTTGCACCCTCGATGCATTAGTTTTCGTTGCATCATTTATTTTGTAGTTTTTCGTTGCATGTTTCCTTGGTGGCACGCATTTCTCCCTCCGCTTTTATCATCATTTTTAGGGGAAAAGTAGATTTATAGACATGTAGAACCATGGAGGAGTATCCAGATCTCCGAAAATGCAAACATGAAAGCAATCAGGCACTCTGAAAGTGACGAAATGAAAATGATCGACTTGGAGCCAGGATTGAACGAGAACTCATAAATACCGCTAAGCAGCTGCAAGCATTAAATATGCGAGAACTTGCTCGTTTCTAATTGAATTCGGAATAAAAACCAATGTTTTTGGCAGCGTGCGCCGCCTCTGGGCTGGCTGGCGGGGGGCGCCGGTACTTACCGGCGTTGCAGGCCTTGAGTGTGCAGAGCTGCTCAGTGCCGCAGGAGCACGAGTTGCAGCCGTCGAAGTAGGTGACGCCGCTGGGGCAGAAGGCCGGGTCGGCAGGGGCGGGCCTCCGCGTGGTGGTCCGCCGCGGGCTGCTCGCCGGCCGCCGACTGGCTATCCGGTCTGCCAGCCGACTCGACCCTGCCGCGGCCAGTCAGGTGTCAGCCACGCCCGGAGATATGTAGATTGGTGCATATCCTTTGTGACTGATGCATCAGTATAGAAATTCGGTAAGGGAGCTTATTAATCCGTTGCTGGTTACAATAAAAAAAACATGAAAATAACCAGTTTGATAATAGGTATAAGCACATGAATTGCAATCATTCTAAAAAAAAAAACAGATGCGTCATACAGCTCAAAGATCACTCATAAAGCCCCAGCAGTGGACGGGTCTGCCGTCTGCTCGGCGGCACGGTCATGCCGATGCGGTCAGTCATGGGCGGCCGAGCAGCAGCACTCAACTAGCAGCTCGACGACTTGAGATGCATGCAAGTAACTACGTGTACGTGCCACAGCCCACAAATAAAGGTAACCATGTAAAGGCGATTAATATTACAATATCTGAATGTAAACTTCAACTTGGAAAAAACTTGTTTTTGTTTGGAAAACACCCACCGAAACTGCATGTGGCTTGCGAATGTTTCGCTAAATGTGTAGGCGATATAGGCTAACTTGTCAATAAGTGGAAGTCCACACTCACAGTGTAATATGTGAAATGTCATGGAAACATTTTAATTACATCTGCATATGGTAGGTATATCGAACAGTGGCGCACATACCTAATATGGTGCAGTATAAACCATCAGTGAGACGGATACATACACACCAGCTGCACGCTTCTACGTTTGCACTTTGGGTCAATGATCAACGCTAACTAAAACCGTCAAATGCAGCCCTAACGGCTTTAAGCGTGATACATTACGTATGCTCTTTCTCTAAAACCGACAACATATATAGTCTCATTCAAAGGAAAATTATAATGCAAGGACGAATGAGGCTCTACGCCATTCATTTCCTCAGTCGCTGTTTTATCCCCGTAGTATAGGAGTGAGGGGCCAAAGAGAAAAAGTTTTTAGGGCCAAAAAGCACAATTGGGCCTTTTATTGCTAAAGTGCTCCCCGCGTTCCGCGTTCCGAGGTTCCGAGTGCCACGCCCGGTACAGGCCGGCCACTGGACGCGCGGCGGACCGTCCGGTACAGGCCGGTCACTGGTCACAGTGTCCACGTCACAGTCACAGTTTGCGCTCAGAGTGTTCACGTCAGTTACTACACGGACGTCACGGACACGTGAACCCGTCACGGCGCAGCCACTATGTGCAATCACCAGCCCAAATCCCGTGCCGTCTCGGCGCAGGCCGTGCTTATACCGTCGGCCCAAGACCCGAGTTTAGACAGGAGGCACGGAACACACAGAGGGCGCAGGACTCGTCACGGGCCGCTGCAGCTGCAGTTACGCCCACGCCGCGCGGAAAAACTGCTGGTTACGCCCACGCCCAGCGGAAAAACCCAGCGGCGACGGCCGCCTCCTAGGAACCCCTGCCCATTTGCAGGCAGCGAGCGGTCGTCCAGTCAATTCCCTTTTAGTTTGACAAATTCAGTCAAAATGACTTCACTGAGTGGCTTTTGAAGGTCAGAAGGTACAGTACACACGTCTAGTGAAGAAAAGGCGGTGTCTCGTCCACCGCATCGACAAAATCGGTACACGAGTAGAAGAAAGAGTTTGTTTGACATTTGACATGTCTCGTATCCGCGTAGTCATGAGGGCACCGCCCTCCCAGCACGTTCCGACTCGCCCGGAACCGCTACGCGACCTCTGATACTCCAGTTGCAGAGTCAGAGCCATGAGACCCTTACACTGCCACTGGTCGCACCGCGCACGTCATCCCTACAGCGCGCATGCCGGAGCAACTCAAACGGGCACTTGCCATTGAGCCGGTGGGTTCGGCACTCCTCGCTCCCTCCGGCGGCTGCAGTGAGGCCAGCGAGGCTCGCAGAGTGAGCCCCTCGCTTTCCGTCGTCAGACGACGGAGCGTCACCCGGCCCATTCCACCAGGACTTACCTGTGGAGTGAGCCCCCGACATCAGTCAGCGAGCACAGCTGCTGGCCCGGGTCGGCTCCACTCGGCGGGACACTGCGGGTCCACTCGGCGGGACACTGCGGGTCCAACGGCGGGACACATCGGACGGAGGTCTCGTCTGACTCACCTGGATCTACACGGTTATCACTGATAGGTCCGGCTACGCGGCGAGACGCTTTCCACCCACAGAGGTATGTACCTACTACCTACATATGTCTCTAATGTTCCGCCCGTAACCTTTATTGGTAACCTTTTAAAGCTGCAACGACTTTCAGAGACATCAAAAGGCTGTCGTCTGCCCACTGCTTCACGTCAGTCACACTCATTCAGCAGGCTGTTACCCTTGGTGTCGCCGGACAGACGAGGCTGCCCCGTGCTATCAATAAGCCCAGTGTTAGCGCCGGCGCCGGCCAGCAGCTCTGCTCCGACATGACCACGGGGCTGGGGCGGCTCGGCCCGACCCTTAAGCCCCGGCCGGCGCGGCGGGGCGGCCCAGCGGGCAGGCAGCATGCCGCATCTCCCCCGGCCGGCAGTAGCCCCTCCATGCCTCTGAGACGGCTCGGCCTGTCCCCCCAGCCCCGGCCGGCGGGGCGGCCCAGCGGGCAGGCAGCATGCCGCATCTCCCCCGGCCGGCAGTAGCCCCTCCATGCCTCTGAGGCGGCTCGGCCTGTCCCCCAGCCCCGGCCGGCCGGCGGTGACCGGAGGTGCCCGGCAGCAGGCAGCATGTGGCAGCACGGCCGCGCCTCCCCCCGGACGCTCACCTCTGACCTCCTCGCCGCTGTCGGAGCCCGCCTCGTCGTCACTGAGCAGCATACAGGCGAGGTAGGTGCGCGCATTGAGCTGGAACAAGTGCGGCAGGCCGCCGCCGCGCCGCGCGCGCGACCGCAGCCGTCCCCACGACTCACCGGCCGCCGTGCTGGAGAGCTGCAGGCAGCAGAGGAGCAGCAAGGCAGCGCGCAGCGCCGACACCGCGGCGCACCTACCACCCGACATCGCGCGCCGGCCGCCGGTCGGCAACCTCAGCAGTCGAGCAGCGCCCTCAGCAGTCAGCGCCGAGCAGCTCCCTCAGCAGTCGAGCAGCTCCCTCTGCAGTCAGCGCGGCTCGATCCGGGCGGCAGCGGTGTCGTTCACCACCAGAATCCTGGGGACACATAGATTCGGTCCACAACAACGACTCGAGCAATATCTTCTAGGTATGACATATAGTAAAAAAAAAAATAGATCTATGTTGATATTAAAATGTTCAACAGCGAAAGCGTGATATACAGGTACCTATCTATCTACCATGCACTTGTTCGGTGCGTGCGAAGATTATTACTGCATACGACTACAGAGCAGGAACGGAGGACCTTGGAGAAGTTCAGCAAATCACTTACCCACTCATCACCTAGGCTGATATTATACATCCAGCAAACACAGCAGTTAATCAATTTAGCTACGCTGATATAAGGACACATAAAGTGTAATTTTTGGTGGCAGCTTTGTGATCTTTTTAAACTATAAGTTGCAATCTGTTCACAGAACGACGCTTTGACATCAATAACCACTATGATAAAAGTAGCGTGCTTCTGCATGAGCGGACAAATTTAAAAATATCACACTAGAGCAAAGATGTCGGTCAGTATGTGAGGGACTTCTGTGAGTAAGCCCTCTAGTTCGATAGATACACACGATTCCGTGCGCCGCCGTGGCATGCTGCATTGCGCTAAACGCGCCGACCCGCATACAGCCCTTGTCTCACTGCATGTACGCATTATTTTCCCGACAAAATCGATAATAGCTCGAAGACTCCAGTTATTGATCGATCAGAGATCATTACACGACCTACGGACAACGCTCCACACTTGTAAGTGGGTCCAGCATTGAGCGAGATATCCGCCATAGTGAAGCAACAAAAAGCAAAACCTTATTTTGGGAGTACCTAAATACTTTGATACGAGCTTTTGTGTATTGCTGCCAAACTTGATGGAAAATGTAGACATAAGCCGTTTTCACAACGGGCTATCCGGCGAATGCACCTAATTTGACCAACTCTGCACCTAATTTCTGCTATAGCAAATATCTTCGTACTGTGAATTTATTTCAGTGTTTTAATCGATGATACTCTCTGAAAATATGACAAAGCAAGCATATAAGCAATTAGCGCAGCCCTGGCTCATAGCTACTAAGAGATACACTGAACCTAATTTGACCAAATATGCACCTAATCTGCACCAAATGTGCACCAAATGTGTACCAGATGGCCGTCGTGAAAACGGCTAATAATGACTCCCATCTCAGGTGTGGACTCTTGCGCGTCTTCGTGGTATAATTTTCGAGAGACAAATAACGAGTTATTCACGGTTTTGTGGGTTATCCGGCGGCTGATAGGGGCGGAGGATCCGGCGGCTGATCGGGGCGGGTTATCCGGCGGCTGATGGGGACGGGTTATCCGGCGGCTGATCGGGGCGGACGGTTTTGACGGCGCTGCGCGGCCCGGAGCGATCAGCCCTCTCCGTGTACCGCCGTCCGCGCCGGTCCGTGCAGCCTGTTCGGAATTCCCCGTTCGGTCCGGTCCCGGGTCCGGTGGGCCGAACGGCCGCGGCCGGCGGCGACGGGCTGACTCACCAGCCGGCCCCGCTGCCGAGACTGGAACTACGTCAGCTGGGCAGCTGCGTCACTACCGCGCGGCATGAATATCATCGCACCGCATCGCGGCGGCAGTAAATAAGCGCTTCAGAATAACGCAAACAACGCCTGGGTGTTGACAAGAACCGTGATGAGGCAGCACCAAGGAACGCATACAGCGTGCTGGCAATACCACCATAGGCGCGGGAACCGTGGGCATGGGGGCAGCCTGCCCCCACAACTCTGGGGCCGTGGGGGCGCTGCCCCACAACTTTTCATAGGGCCAGGGCCCAGGAACCATTGGGGCAGCTTGTCCTCCCTAAATGAGCGGTTGTGGGTCACAAAGGAAAACTGAATGGAAGAAAACATTCAAGTAAAAGCAAATCCCCTGCTCACCTGGCTTGACAACTCATGTGGAACATTGGAAAATTTAAACCTTTAGTTCAGGTTGTACCCAAAGGTAGTTCATTGACTCACTTACCTAGGACAGATTATCTGAGAATTTTTCATGATTTTTTTTTTTGACAGCTTTGAGTACCAATGTAATAAAAAGGTGATACAAAACATTTCCGGTACATATCCACACACACGCACACACAAACCCATACACACATGCCCGCTCGGACACGGTCAGGAGGCGTTCAAGCGCCAATCCTCCGTGCGGCAGTTACAGTCCCCCACCCTCCATCCTGACTATCTGGCTGCAGAGCTCCTTGTGGAGGTAAAAGAAGGTATAACCGTCCCGTTGGTGACCTTCATTCAGGACGTACGCCTCGTCCACGCAGCTGACTCGCTGGTCGTCGTAATGGAACCACATGTCCCGTCCTACACTGTACACGTCAGACACATATGTATGTATGTATGTATGTATTTACGATCATGGGCGATCCACACATGGCGTGGCGATTACTGCCCAGAGTCTGAGTCGGGTGTAAGCATGCAGGAACAGAGACCAGTCGAACAACAACAACACACACACACACACGCACACACAGGAAGACTCTATATGCTACGATTTCTAACATACCGTGTACTTATGTACAAGACGAGTGCCTAATTCAGGCCATCACGAAGGTCTATCGTTTTTCCACAGAGACTTGACAGCGCGTGCGAATTTAGAGGGTGGCAGCTGTGAGAGGTCGGGAGGTAGGTCGTTTAGGAGCTCGGCGGCACGGTAACTGAAACGCCGCTTACCGGTTTCTAGTCTGGGACGCTGGAGCTGGAGAAGGTTATCCTGACGTGTATTTCTATTCCTGGTTGAGGAGTCCCGGTTTTTGGCAAACATAGAGGCAAGTGCTACCGGTTCGCCGTAGTGTATCGCTTTACGTGCAGTGGCCATGGTTTGAAGTTTGTACATAAATTCGGGCGGCATCCAGTTGAGTTTCTCGCGCAGGTCAGTGACGGTCCTGAGTGCGTGGCGCCACCGTAGTGGCTGACGACTCCCACCAGCCGATACGTAAAGTCGCCGACCAGGTCGACGGGACGGAGCGACTGATCTTCCTGGACGCAAAACTCGGAAAGGTGCACAGATTATCTCACTTTTTTGCAAATGTTTTCGTTTCGCTCTTTTCGTTAAAAAGGCCAAGGGATGAAAAATAATATAAAACCGGTGAGAAAACAAGATTTGGGGATACCCTAGGTTCCGGGAAGTATCAGGTGTGCCCCCCCCCCCCCCCCCAGCCTGAAAGTAATTCCGCGCCCATGGGCAATACGGTTCGTTGACGGTTGTCATCATTCTGTATGATGGTAGGTATTCCTTGATTTGCCCACGTGCGGCTACCCACCCACGGGGACTGCCAACCATGCTCTGAGACGAAGCTATCTTTGTTTAGCCGAGGGTACAGCACGCCGCGCAGTTCACGAGGCCGACCACTTCTGCCGGCGGTCGGGGCGGAGGACGAGCCGCGCGGTTCGGCTCGCTGACGGTATAGGACCAGCGGTGGCCCGAATACCAGATATTCAGGTTCAGTGCTCAGCCCAACCGGTTCGCTGCCTCCAACGCCACGCGACATCGACTGCTGAGCACCCAGAGCCGGGGGACGGCCACTGAGCTGTCATATAATACGCAGAAGCTGCTGCCTGGCGAGCTAGCGGCCCCTGATGACAGGTCAAGGCCGCCCGGATACTCAGCAGACGGCGGTTCGTTTATGTTAAGCCAATGACGGTACTCGCACGGCGGAGGAAACTGTCCAGCAGCGACTGACCAGCGCCACACGCAACAGTGGCGACTTATTCTCAGCGGCAACCAGCGAACACCAGCGTCCCGTCACCGGCAACCAGCGGACACCAGCGTCCCGGCACCGGCAACCAGCGGACACCAGCGTCCCGCGGCACCGACCTCCATTCAGCCATTCCAATCCGGTTCTACCTCAGCCATGTCCCCGATCGGTCCCCGCTTCTGCCCAGGCCGGCTTCGGGCGACCTTGAGCGCCCTCTCCTGGAGCCGCAGCCTCTGAGCTGTGAGCCGCCACAGCTGGGGAGCTGGCACTGAGGGAGCTGGCAGCGCCCGCTGGCACTGGGGGAGCTGACCGCGCCAGCTTCCCCGGGCGGAGGGGCCGCCGGCGCTGTCCTCACCTGTTGCGCCGCGCTGGTCCGACCTGCAGCTGCGCGGAAGATGCGCCTCCGACCACGCGACGGCGTCCGCTCCACTGCCGTGGCTGTCTGCCCGCCGGATCCCGAGCCGCCGCGCTGCCGGCCGGCCGTACCCCGCCGCAGTTCGCACAGTCCCCGCAGCGCGGCGCCACCGTACAGGCTCGGCCGCCGCCGCCCTCCGGTCTTGGGAGACACGGCCAACATGGGAGGTCTCGGAGACGGGCAGAGGTCAGGTCAGGTTTGGGTGTGGGTTTGGGTTTCGATGCGCGTCGATGGCTCGCACAAAAAAAGTGCTTGTCTTTTGGCTGCTATCGGAACCTCCACTGGTGACCTTGTGACCCAGATCGGGCGGTGTCAAAGATCGGTGACTGCAGGGGTTCACTGCCCCCATGCTCTCCAGTTAGGATGCTAGACAAGTCGCTGGCGGGACGACTGGGGAAATCAGTATAGGAAGTATGAGGTGGACGGTGTAGGGCTCTGGGGTGGACGGTGGAGGTCTGGCCGGACGGGCGGTGGAAGTCTGGAGACAGTGGAAGTCTGGAGACAGTGGAAGTCTGGAGCCAGTGGCAGTCTGGGGTGGGCAGTGTGGAGGTCTTGGGTTGGATAGTGGAAATCCGTGGCTGGGCGACGGCAATCAGGACTCGGGGGGGGGGGGGGGGCGGTGAGCGGTGACAGTCTGGGGCGGGCGGTGGCAGTCTGGGGTCTGGGGATGGTGGAAGTTCGGGGCGGGCGGTGGCAGTCTGGGGACGGTGGCAGTCTGGGGGTGAGCGGTGGCAGTCTGGGGCGGGCGGTGGAAGTCTGGGGGCGGTGGCAGTCTGGGGACGGTGGCAGTCTGGGGCGGGCGGTGGAAGTCTGGGGGCGGTGGCAGTCTGGGGACGGTGGCAGTCTGGGGCGGGCGGTGGCAGTTTGGGGGCGGTGGCAGTCTGGGGGCGGTGGCAGTCTGGGGCGGTGGCAGTCTGGGGGCGGACGGTGGCAGTCGGGGGCGGGCGGTGGCAGTCTGGGGGCGGGCGGTGGCAGTCTGGGGCGGGCGGTGGCAGTCTGGGGACGGTGGCAGTGTGGGGGTGAGCGGTGGCAGTCTGGGGCGGGCGGTGGAAGTCTGGGGGCGGTGGCAGTCTGGGGACGATGGCAGTCGGGGGCGGGCGGTGGCAGTCTGGGAACGGTGGCAGTCTGGACTCTGGGGTGAGCGGCCGCAGTCTGGGGGCGGGCGGTGGCCGATGTCTGACGTCAGTCGGCCGGTCGCGGCGGTCCGCTGAGCTCACCACTCTGCCGGTCTGTGAGCTGGTCCGGGTGTGAGCTGGTCCGGGTGTGAGCTGGTCCGGGTGTGAGCTGGTCCGGCCTCCGGGCCCGGGCGCCGCTCCGTGTCGGTCGCCACGGGACGCCGTCCACTTCCCGTCCGCCGTCCGGCCGGCCGCGGGGACGCCTGAGGTCATCATAACCACTGATCTGTCGCCCGTTCGACTCAGCCCGCACGTCATGCAGCCGCCGTCTCACGTCATAGACTGGGTGACGTCACACACAGGGTCAGCGCGGTCACATGGCACATTAGTGAAGTATTGTTGACTAATAGATGCCAGGGCCCTGTTTCACGGGCCGGCGATGCAGCGTGCTGCGCTGCGCTGCTGTATTGGCGCGGCATCTGAGACGAATTCGGCTCGAGGCTCCAGCGTTGCGGGCGTCCGTGTTTACTGTTTGTTGATGTTGAACCTAATGCATCGTTACGCGCAGCGCGCTGCAGCGCAGTGCCGTGAAACTGAGGCCAGGACAGCGGGTGGCTAGTCGAACGAGCTTTTTCACATTAAAGGTAGTGTGCCACCTTTGAAAGATTTCCCATTTTATTTTTCCTAGGATAAGAAGCTTCTGTTTTTACCCAATATCGCAAAAAAAAATCAAAAATGGGCCTGGAATAGTGCCTTTTTCGCCTAAAAGTTTATCGGTTTTTAGATATGTATAACAACTGTAGTGGGCTCACCTGCAAACAGGCGTCGGGCAACAATCGCGAATGCGGCGCACTTGTGACAATAAGCAAAGGTCATTATAGTGTTACGACCATACGACGTACGGAAATGAGTTATCAGCTGTCTAATCGTAGACAACACAATGTCGAGCCTTAAACTGTAAGCCCGTATTGGTATTGTTTCTTTTATTTGGCTGTCGAACATTATTTATGGTTTGAAATATGATTTTATGTAAAATAATTGATATGAAAAAGCCGTCTTATAAGTTATGACCCCATTTCACCACACGCAAGTGGCAGAAATGACAATGATCAGCTGACGCATTTTTCTTGGCCGAAGTCAGAGCGCGCAGCCCGACGCACCACCACCGCACCACAAAGTATGAGCAGAAGCCGCGCCCAAAGCCAGGGCCCCGGTAACGTGAGGTAGCCGAGTCGGGGCAGCGTGCGCTGACCCAAGCCGGGGCCGCAGCTTTGGGCGCGGTCTACCGCATCCCCGCGGGCAGCCCCGGGCTATCACATGACACCGGGAGGACGCGCGGCTCCGGCTTGGGTCAGCGCACGCTGCCCTGACTCGGCTACCTCACGTTACCGGGGCCCTGGCTTTGGGCGTGGTCTACCGCACCACCTAACAGGCGTGTTCGAAACCGCAGGAGCTGATGATGAACGGGTTTATCGAAACTTGATTGGATGAGCATATCGGTAATAGCGATTTCAGTGTGTGCATTTATTGTTCATAGTGGTGTGAAATGTGGTTGGGGTACGACCGACAACCCGTCGAATTTCAGTGCGAATTTCGCACTGGGGTACTCAAAATTTGAAGAATTTAAGACGTTTCCATGAGTTTTGAAGGTATGGATAAGTTCTAAAAATCCGGTTCTCCTTATCTGGGCCATTAACTCCATACGGTCCAAGAAAGCTGGCACACTACCTTTAATCGTCGTCCCCAAGGGCTCCTGGACTTCTGCGCTGGGGAAGGTTTTTAACCGCCACCCGTCGCCGCTGTAACCTGGGCTAAGTAGCTCCGCGTGGCAAACGGCGTTCGAAAGAGCCAATGTCACCCGAGGGGTCAAAGGCCAACTATTTCTACTTTTTTAACAAACAACGCATAACGTCAGAAAAGAATGAGCGCCAACTTCTGAAGAGCTCATCTAATCCTTGCTATAGACCCAAAGCCCTAAAAAAGTTGGAAATGCCAGTTCCCTGATATCTTATAGACCTGTCTGTCACGTTTCTAAATATCGAAATAGGACCATACAGGTTGACGGGGGGACGTGGAACACCTTCACTCAGCACGTCGTGCGCATCGAATAGTAGACTTTGTTACAAGTTTAGGTGAGCTTTATATTTTCCTAATTCTTAAGTGAGCTTAAATTATAATGAAAATCAGATGGAATAGTAGCGTTTTGCTCATAACTAAAGTAAGCTAAAAACAAATCCAAAACATATTTTCGGTGCTGGACCTTCTTCAGTGGAATGACAAAAACACGAAAGAGTGACACCTTTTAAAATCTTGATAAGTAAGTACGTATTGATTTGTTTTTGACTTACTTTATGATCAAAATGTTACTATTCCATCTGATTTCCATTATAATCATAATCATGGTAAAAAAACGTTTCACACCATTCAATCTTGAGCTCAAATTAATTAATTAAGTTCAGCTTAACCAAATTGCATCCGCATAACATTCGATTTGGCTGATCACAAGGAACATAGTGACACCATTTATGAAGCTCTAGCATCATTGTGTGCGAAGTTATTAGCAAAAACGTAATTTGACCTCATTTGACCTCAGATGACCTGACCTAAGTGTTTTTCAGAAAGCAAACACCAAATTCATCTTAAATGGAGCTAAAACAACACAAAAACATTGAAATGGAGCATACTTTTACAATTTTAGCTATTCGAACAAATTTTCATAAAATTTGTCGTGACCTCCAGATGACCTCAGGTCACGTTAACTTGAAAAACCTGGATGTAGGTTATACAACTCGGTGATCTTAGCATACTCTGCCAGTTTGAATCAAATAGATGAACGACTCTAGCCCTCGCCCGTATTGGTGTTTTTCCAGCCGCGAACGTACTCGTGTAAGGCGGGGGTCCGCTGGACTCCCCTTGCCGTTTTCACCCCTGATCGAGCTAGAGCCTCACGGAAAAAACGTGTTGCCCGTGACGAGAGGAAGCCGATGATACCCAATTTTAAGGTGCTAGGTCATTGGTTGACCTTGCAGGTCAGGTCAATGACCCAAAAGTCGGGAAAATCGGGACCTGTTAGAACGTCGTAAAGTGTGGCTGCTATGGGGTTTTTCTGGGTGCTGATCACGGATATCATGTTAGTTTTGATTACAGATGATGTCTTTATGCATTTAGGCCAGGTCGGGTCAGGTCAACCAGAAGGTGTTCTGCCGGGTATTCGTAGTAGGTATCAACCGCCTCTGACAGCTTCGTAACATGTTACGAAGGCACCAAAACTACTTCGTAAATGTTCATATGGTTGCTAAATTCGAATTCAGCTTAAAAAACTGGCCTAGAAACACGTAACACTCGAAAAAGTGAACCGAGGTCATCAAAGGTCAATGACCTGACCTGACCTTCAAGTGACCTTGACACCCACCCGAATGCATGGGACCACCATCATTTCACGTGTTTGAACGTTTGAAACCACGAAAAGACTGCAAACGCGCAGCTAATGCGAGCCGACATACGCCGAATCGCGATTCCGGCCAAACATGGTCTCGAAAAGTAGGCCACAGGTCAAAGGTCATTTGGGTCAGGGTCATGAAATTTTCAGGTAGGTGTATAAAATTGATCAACTCGAGGGTACTGAAAGTTTCGTCGCGATCGGGCGCTTCTTACACGAGTTATTCGCGAAAAACCGAGGGGGTCCATTCGCCCCCCCCCCCTACACGGGCTATGGCTAGATTTCATTGACAAACTAACGTATTTTCAGTGCCATTTTAACCATGTAGGTACCTTTTTTGTGACCTTGTGACCTGGCCTGAGGTCACTGGAACACATAACGCCTAGTACATGTGTTAACCCGCGCCCTGATTGGGGGCATTTTGACCCTCTGTGGTTTTTCTTAAATAGCGAAAAAACGGCGGCGCGCAGTGCCGACAAATTTTGGGTACCTACCCGGACATCAATTTGACACCTTCACACAAACTTCCAAGTCACAGGTCACCTTGGGTCAGGAGTTATTGAGGTCAAACTGAGGTCATGTTCGAGTAAAAATGAGCAAAAAACATGACATCTT